GCAACGAGGTTGAGATTCTCTTCGAGTTCTGGGGCACACCGCCATTCGAGTTCACCTACACACGCAGCTCCAATGCTCGTAAGGGCCAGAAAAGCGTGGTTCTCGAGACGCGACACGACGTCTCGTACGAGAGCAGCAAAATCATTCGCGCGAGCCAAGAGGGCACATACGAGGTGGTAGCCATCAAAGACAAGTTCTGCGCCTTCTCCACCCAGCAGGTCGCCGACACTGGCAAGGGCCAGAAGCTGCTGCAGTATTAGCATAGCATGAACAAAATGAACTCGGGGGCTCTTTTTTATTTATTCCAAAGGTGAACACACTTGGGCTTGCTACATGAGGACGAAAGAGGCAATGTTTGTGTAAAAGGCTGTTGGTGTGCATAGGCATCTGTATCATGGCAACGGCGTTTCATTCTGGGGGATCAAGGGTTGAATAGGGCTATAATCAACATAACCAAAGACGAATTTCTTCAAGTACATTTGAACTCCTTTTGACATTGTGCACTAAAGTCCAGAACGGACCGAGAACTTGTGGTTTGCATTGTGATTCCGAAATAACTAGATTTTTGTGGCCTAAACTTTTCCCAAACCCGCTATGATGAACAAATTACAGCTACGTCTTAACACCCCGGCTCTCTTTGATTCTCTCATTCGGTAAGCTCGATCCGCTTGATCAAATCGCCACCGACTCTGGCAATCTCCAGCAGGATAGCCGGCTTGTTAACCTCGACAGGGTCAGCCTCCTCATCGCCGGCGTCCTTGACCTGCCGGAAGTTGTATGGCAGACCGACACGGAAATTCTGTCTGTTGCGGAGCTTGGGCTGCCAGATGGCGCCAATGACAACGTCGTCCGGTGCGCCGTGAAAGAAGATGAGGGTATCCTCGTACGCGGCCTCGAGCTCACTCAATAACACCGTCGCTGGGTGCCTTGTGAGGGGGAGGGGCACTTTGCCGGTACGCTCATCGAGATTCTTGAAGAGCGAGTGGCGCGTGCCGACCTCAGAGGCAGCGTCGCGGACGACACGCTTCAGGGCCGAGGAGGACAGGTGGAGGAGGATGTCATAGTCGGCGAGGGAGGGGCGGAAGAGCTCGGCGGCATCGAGGGCGATGCCTCGCTCCTTGAGGAGCCTACTCGCGGCTTTTGCGAGGCGCGTCATGCGCGTCGCAAGAAGCTTGGAGGGACCGTGGCGGGTATAGGCCAGGCCGAGGTGATCGTGGGGCGTGGCGACGAAGAGGACGGCGTGGTTCATGTTGGGGTCGCGCGCGCGCCAGGCCTCGAGGTGGTGCGAGACGATGGCGCGGTCTCCGGCCGCCATGTCGTCCGAAGAGTCGACGACAAGGGCCTCGTCGCGCCAGTCCCAACGGGACAGGAAGAGGAGTGTACGGAGGAAACCCGACATGGGGCTCGAGGGTACCTTCCATGGATGCGGGTTGAGGAAGACGTGGAGGACAAGTAGCTCAATGAGCTCTTTGGTGACGTGGCCCGCGAGCTTATGCACGTTGAACCAGTGCTTGACGAGGCGAATCGTTGTAGAGAGGGTCGTGAAGCGCGTGCAGTAGGTTGTGATCGTTTGCGTGTGCAGAGGCAAGTGCTTATAGCGCCACTGCAGGTTGAAGAGGGCCTCCTCGGCCTCGGCTCTAATCTGGGGGCTGAGGGTCTTGTTCTTGGCTTGGCGGTCCAGGAGTGTCTCTTCGAGTTCGGCGTAGATACGCAGACGGAACGCGGCCCCTGTCTGATAGATGATGTCTAGGTAGGCCAGGTTGTCAATGTCACGCGCCGCATTGTCGCGGCCCAGGCTCGTTGTGATGCTGTCGTTGGCGGCTCGTAATCTGCGGTCAATGTCCAAGAGGAACTCGATCTTGGTTTCCTGGATGGCGACAATGTTTTCCGGCCACTTACTGGAGGCCTCAAAGTAAAGGTTCACATCCATGGCTGGGGGACTGGTCTTCTGGGAGAGTGTGAATGGTGGCTTGACCGAGGCGAATCGGAGCTCAGGAACCACAGGAGAGATCTGCCTGATTGACAACGGTATGTCTTCCAGCCCGCGGATATCTTGTTCCAGGGTCCCGAAAGCCTTTCTCGCCGCCTCGAAGGCTTCCTTGTCCAGGGGCGAAATGTCCAGAGACAAAGGAGGTTCGGCATCGTGGAAGCGCAGGTCACCAGCGCCGAGGCTCAGGTGACGCTGGAGGATATAGCGAACAATCTCCTCGCAAATACCCGCGGCCGACTTGTTCGTCCATGGCACACACTCGAGAATGCTGCCATCCTGGAACCGTCTCAGCTCAGCCTTGTCGCCCCAGAATTTACGGAACTTTGCAGCCTCCTTCTCCAGCTCGGCTGATGGGCCATATTCCATCAAACGTCCCATGTTGGCGGGGTCGAAGACAATGCCAGCTTGAATATTGGGAAGGCCCCGGGGCTGGTTGCCGGTGATTGGCCAGGGCGCTGGATCTTGGCTCCAGAAGTGGATCAGCTGGGATCTTTCCTTCAGCGCTTTCTTGAGAAGCGCATTTGCCTTGAAGCTGAGGTCCCAGACGGCTCCCCGGCGGTCAGGGTTATTGCTCTTCGAGTTGCTATCGACGTTTTGGATCTCAAAAATGGCATCGTATAGCTGTAGTGGCATGTCGGCTTTAGTGATAAATGTCGGCTCAAACTGGTTTGCCAGGGTGTCATTGAGCACCTCCATGGTCGTGCAGGCATGGAAGTGAAGTAGACTCGCGGACCAGGGGCTCATCTTGTACAAAATGTTGACTTCACGGTCCGGATCAAACATGACGGGGCCGTTCTCGCGGATGGCCTCGGCGCCGTGCTTGTAGGTCCCGAATACGAAGGGTTTCTTGGAGAACTCAGTAGAGGCGAGGAACTGGACAGTAGCCTTGAACAACTCCGTACTGCTCAGAGCCGAAGAAAGCGCTGGCTGTCCGTTTCGTCCACCCGTCTGTAAGAGCAGTGCCATCATGATGGCCCACTCAAAGTGACCAAAGCCGCCCTTAGATAGCGAACTACCAAGGCCCCGTTGTTGAAGCCAGATCCTTCCGAGAATGCAAGCGTCCGCAAAAGCTTTGCATTCTGTCTTGGCCCGGGTCAGAACACGGAGATACGTGATGAATGTGTCTTCGGCCTTGATCGTTGAGTTGTAGAACGGTGTTGCGGCAGTGGGATCCTTGGCGTCAGTCTGTCCACTTCTATTGCTGTTGAACGACGGATTCAGCTTTGTCTTGGGGAAGACCCCTTCGGGAGCGCAGGGAATGACCCGAATGGCATATTCCGCCTTGGTTTGTTTCTTTCCATCGCTCTCGTCGCCTAGGTGGGATGTTGCCGCAGGCCTGACTGAAAGGACAGGCAAGAGGGCGTTTCCGTTTAGGTACTCAAATTCCAAGCCAGCCGACTCTCCGAGCTCCTTACGCAAGTTCGCTGCGATATAGGCAATGTAGTACGCTCTCCGGTAAAAGTAGCGCATGTTTTGGTGATCCTTCTCTTGGAAAAGCGAGGCGGGCATCTGCACAATCATATCAACGCCCTTGTTGGCCTGAGCCTGGACCATAGTTCTCGAAACATAACTTCCAACGACGTTGTAAGTCGCGGGCTTTTCGTAGGAGAGCTTATACGGCGCATCTTCGGCGGGCTTCGGTTCCGGGTAAGGAATCTTTATGCGATGAGTCTTTTGGAATTTGCGCGTGGCTTCAGCGATCTGGAAGTTTGGTTAGCAACTACATGTCTGGGGAGCCAGTATGGTGACTTCAACCAACCGGAATGGGGCCGTGAGGCTCAATGCCTCCGATCAGGTTCCTGATCTTATGCAGTAGTGTGTCGGCGCCATCCAAGGCCTTGGAATAGTCGACCTTGACCTCCTTTATAAGCTCGTCCGTCTGCAAGACGAATGGACTCGCAGTCGCAATATTGGCCGTGATCCTGGAGTCGCCCTGGTGAGAGACTTTGCGTCGCTTGGGACTCTGCTCCATTTTGACGACTTGACGGATCAGCACCGTGAGTTTTCGCGTAATTGAGCTGTTTGATTCGTGGCCGACAAGTGAAATGACCCGAGAACGCAATTACACTGCGAATACGGCGGCGACTACGAATTCCGTCTATACCCAGAGCCACCCGCGATCAAGGGAAATTTTTCGAAGCGTGGGGCATCCTGCAGGCCGATAAGCCTCTGGGAGAAAACTTATCCCTGGCCGACCGCTCGATAAGACTTGGAGCCAGTTACAGACCCGCTTTTATCTGAACATTGTCCCAGGCACCCTAGGTAGGGAACCAACCCAGACAGGCAAGCGACGCATTGCGGATACTGCACCAAGCCTCGGGGTTGGATAAATATTCAGAGACAATGTTGTTGTCGAGGGCCGCTTTCCAATGACCTAATACGTCCCCTAATACTTTTCCCCCACGATTCTCTCTCTCAAGCGTCGAGTCCCAATAGAGTTTCCTCTAGGGGCAATGACGAACCAGCGGGAAGGCACCGACATCGCTCTACGGCAACTGTCCGTTCTAGAATTTGAGTGCCAGACGAAAGACCAAAGATCACGGTAGGTGACGAGCGCAGGGGATGATGGAATTCAAACCCTTCAAAATGCGCCCCAGCATGAAAATCGCCGGTATCGCAATGGAGTAGGCACAATTGCTGCCGAGTCTTGATATGAAAGAATTCATGGCGGTTTGATTCCGCTTCGGCACAGTCTTCGGCAAAAGGCGCCGCTATCCGACTCGGGTTAAGGCCACTACTACGTACATACCCACTGTAACCTAGCTAGCTATACGGCGGCAGTATAAGCCTATAATCGATTGATAACCATGTGACGAGTTGCGAAGCCCAGCACAGCAATAATGAAGCTCCATCACTCGCCGAAAGACGTTTTGGTTGTTGTTGCAGAGGTGGCTTTGCGGGGTTCGGACGGAGAAGCTGGAGTTGAGGCTTTCCCCATTTTTGGCGCGCCAAAACATTTAGCCCCGCCACTTTCCGAGTCACGGAACTTGGGAGGTGTCACTATCAGTACCATCGCAGCTCCAAGCCGCTCAAAAGGGTACCTACCTACCTCAGGTGGGCAGGGATACCGGGCACTTCTGAGCGTGAGACACCCTGGCAACGTCCCCAGGTCCAAGCTTGCCCTCCTCCTTGCCGAGCTCAATCCCGAAAAGGCGGAGCAGCATACATCCCCCCAGACACTACACACGGCGCAAGGAGACGGAAACCCACGGCCTTGGAAGCCAAGGTCACGTACCGATGCAATAAATTGACCCGGCCCCCTTCACAATCCCTCGTGAAGGATGGCCCTTCCTCTTCTCCGATTCTCTCTCGCCCTACCGTTTTGTCTCCCGTCTCCAACCCTTCTCTTGGTTGTTCTCTACTGTGTGCGCTGTCATTGTGGAAGCCACTCGGTCATCATTCTCTGAACCTCAACCGGTGCTTGCATTCCTACTCTCACAGTACTCTCAACTTCCTCCACACCATTCGCGATGCCTTCAGCAGCTCTGTATGCGCGCTCGTTGCGTGCCTACGCCCGGCATGGCTCTAACGTATGTCAAACCGAGATGAGGAGTCTACAGACAACCAGACGCCACGCTCAGCAGCTTAATTGACCCTTCTTCTATGAGTAGCACCCTGCCATTCTCGCCCGCGCATTCTCCGCGACAGCGCGGAGACCAGAGATCAACAAGGTCTATCCTTCAGCCGCCGAGGCTCTCAAGGACATGAAGCCCAACTCGACGCTTCTCTGCGGCGGTTTCGGTCTCTGTGGTGTTCCGGACACACTGATTAACGAGGTTCTGAAGAAGCCCGAGATTACCGGCATCACTGCCGTCTCCAACAACGCCGGCACAGACACTTCCGGCCTCGGCCAACTGCTGAAGACCAAACAGATCAAGAAGATGGTAGCCAGCTACATTGGCGAGAATAAGACCTTTGAGAAGATGTACCTGACCGGCGAGGTCGAGCTCGAGCTGACCCCCCAGGGCACCCTCGCTGAGCGCTGCGCCGCCGGCGGTAAGGGCATTCCGGCCTTCTACACCCCGGCTGCCTTTGGCACCGTCGTCCAGACTGGCGAACTACCCCTCCGCAACAAACCCGACGGCTCGCCCGACCAATTCTCATACCCCAAGGACGTAAAGGTCTTCAACGGCAAGTCGTACCTCCTCGAGCATAGCATCGCTGGCGACTACGCCTTCGTCAAGGCCTATAAGGCCGACAAGCTCGGAAACTGCCAGTTTCGTCTCGCCGCCAACAACTTCAACGGCGCCATGGGCCGCAACGCCAAAATGACCATTGTTGAAGCTGAGCACATTGTCGAGCCCGGCGAGATCTCTCCTGAGGCCGTTCATCTGCCTGGCATCTACGTCAAGCGCGTCATTCAGAGCACGACCGAGAAGAACATTGAGAAGTATACCTTTGCCAAGGATGAGAACGACGCCGACGCCAAGAAGGCCCTCGGCACTGGCGACACAGCCGCCAAGCGCGAGCGTATCGTCCGCCGCGCCGCAAAGGAGTTCAAGAACGGCATGTATGCCAACCTTGGTATCGGCATGCCTATGTTGGCTCCCGGCTTCGTCGGCCCCGAAGTTGAGGTTCAGCTGCAGTCCGAGAACGGCATCCTTGGCCTAGGTCCGTACCCCAAGAAGGGCGACGAGGACGCCGACCTCATCAACGCCGGCAAGGAGACCGTCACGCTCAAGCCCGGTGCCGCCGTCTTCGGCAGCGAAGAGAGCTTCGGCATGATCCGCAGCGGTCGCATCAACCTCACTATCCTCGGTGCCATGCAAGTCAGCGCTAATGGCGACCTCGCTAACTGGATGTTGCCCGGTAAGGTCAAGGGCTTTGGTGGAGCTATGGACCTCGTCAGCAACCCCAGCGCGACCAAGGTCGTCGTCACAATGGAGCACACGGATAAGAAGGGCAATGCCAAGATCGTCAAACAGTGCGCTTTCCCCCTGACTGGCAGAGCTTGTGTGTCAAGGATCATTACCGAATTGGTGAGTCGCTCCTGCATGATCCAGAACAATGACTTTCGTCAAATACTAACAGGTACCAACAGTGTGTCTTCGATGTCGATTTCGCGCACGGCCTGACCCTTATCGAGATTGCGGACGGTGTAACGGTAGATGAGATTAAGAGCAAGACGGAGGCGCCGTTCACGGTAGCTGACGATCTGAAGCCCATGTTGTAAGGCTAGAGCGGTCTGTAGAATACCCCAGAGGTTGGATCTGTTAAGGAATACCGTTATGGAGGGCAAGCTGTTGGCATCTAGAGTACGGCGTCAAGTTAGGGACCAAATTAGCCATGAAGTTCTTTTTTCTTTCGTGCCCTTGAGCTCTGTTGCTGTTAGATTTACCCGTTTGCCTCGTCCAAAATCTCGTCATATCTTCTGCAATACTCCCATAACGCCAGCTTCCCTATGTCTTTTCTTGAACAACATTCTGTTTGTACTGTCCACCCACGCCAAGGATGGTGTTGCCTGGTCTAGTCTTAACTTTGCTGGATATTGGTTCCTTCCATCAAGAGCCCATGAATGATTGCAGGATATCATCAAGACGCCGCCGCTTCTTCCGATTAGGATTCAGACCAGTTTCCACATTCCCAAGCTGAACAGTAGGCTTCATTAGCTCCGCCGTCTTCCGCGCAGACGCCTGCCTATTATTTGGTGAAGAAGTCCTGAAGAAGGTATATCTTGAGGTCGCAAACAGCCCGCGGCGAACATAAGACACGGCAGGTGTGATGCCCGACCTCGCGGAGCCGCAGTGGCCCAATTGGAGACATGCTAGCGGTTTGGACGGGAGCACCAGCTGTTCCGAAACGGTTTTCCGTACCGTCTCGAAGCCCGCTCTTGTCAGATCCTCATCATTCGTAAACTGCCCGATAATGGAGTACAGCCAGAACGCCCAGGTCTCAAAAGGGAAGCCCTTACACGTCTGGGCTTCGTAGCCAGGCACGTCGACGTACATGGAGAGGTTCCTCTTGGCCGCGTCTCCAAGGTGGTCGAGAAATGACGGCGCGTCCCGGTTAGGGATGAACTGGATGGGCTGGTTGCTGCTTTGGCAAAAGTTCATGAGCCCATCGTCGATGTTCCGAGCCAGGCCCTGAAGCTGTCTCGGCTTGCTCTCCTCGACGAAGTCGAAAAGCATCAAGTACCAAAGCAGGGTGTCGTGGGGGCCATGCAAAGGCTCCTCCATTTCCCAGCCCTTGCCCAGCGCCGTGTCCGCGGCGTCCCTCCAGTCACTCCGTGACGCGTTGACGTCATACAGCGCGAGCGACGGGAACCTGGAAACGTATTGGAGGGATTTCTTGGTCACCGACTCATCGCCCCAGAGTCTGAGGATACGCAGCAGGGGAAAGGGGTCTTCCATCTCCGACCAGCCCCTGACGAGGCGGTCATCGACCTTGGGGAAGATGGTTCGCAGCTCGTCCGCCGGCTGGATGATCTCGAGAATGGCAAGATTCTTAAGGCGCGCAAGGGCCAGCAGTTCGTTCTCTGCAAAGGAGCAGGATCCCGTGATGTTGAGATGTGTCACAAAGTCGACGGCTGGGGATTCAAGCGGCCTAAGGTAGTGATGGAGGTTCGCGTTGGGCTGACAAATGTGCTGGCGGTATCGGTAAAGGCCTAATGTCTTCTCGTCGTCCTCGGCAAGCAGGAATTTTGAAAACACCTTCCATGCCTGAAAACACACGCCTCTACGAACGACGCATTAGACCTATGAGTCTTGTCTGGTCGAGTAAGTCTTTGAGAGATGGACGGACGAACCTGTTCTCTAGCAGTCGCCATATCCTCCACAAGTACCTCTTGGGCAGGTCCTCACGCGCAAGGTGATGTTCCGTCACGTCGCCGATGTTCTCCGCCACTGTATGCATCGCCATGTCGGCCAGCGACCTCGGTCCCTTTCTCCCCTCTCCACCGCGACCTTTCCGGGGTGGCCGGCCGGTCCGCCTCGACCAGTCCCGGCCGTTTTGATACACATCTGGAGGGCGCGGTGCGACGACCTCTTTGTAGACTTGTCCCGACTCGTCAAACATGGCAGCTGCCTATGCCGAGGGTTATATTTGGAGGACGATGTCTCTGAGAACCCCCCAACGTACCACCCTTTTTTTATAGGAAAAAGCATGAAGCAAATTGATGGTTTCACGTTCAAGAGTGAGATGATACGTAGGGGAGGAGTCGGACTCAGCAGGTCTCTGACAGGCACTGTGCACCTGCACGGTGTTTAAACACATCACACTACTTGCTCACAGCCGCGTCTGGCCAGTGGACGTACGGACTGGAAACGACGCGTCCACGTTGCTACGTCGGAGAACAGATTGAATGTGCTTCACTAAAGGCAACGGAATCATGTCAAAGCCACGTGAACAGATGCTATCAGCAGTTATAATCCAATACTAGGGCACAGCAAAAGCAGGGGGCCAGACAGAATGTATCGCCGCATAAAATTTCTCTGATCACCAATACAGCCGAAGCTGCCACGGGACAGAGGGTAAGTGAGCGAATAAAGTGCATTAGTCTTACCTCCCATTTCCCCTCCAGGCACCTTCATTGATAACGTGAAAGGCAGAGTGAATAGAGAGGGTTTGTGTTTTATGATTAGGTAAAGAAGAAAAAGAGGAAGAGGGAAAGCTTCGCTTTGCGCGAAATCGCGGCCTTCATATGGGATTTTTTTTTGCAGAGTGGGTCGCGGCGGCTGGAGACACCCGGCACGGGGGTTCTGCCGGTGGCCGGGCAAAACCAGCTGAAGTGTCCTAGACGTTTAAAACCGGGTCGGTTACATTGGCATTCGATGCGGATGAACTGGGTTACATGTGTCTGGTATGTAGCCATAGCTCAAGAGCTTCTCCTTCGGACGGGTGCTCAGACAACTAGCTGTTAAGTTCTACAGCACTGTTAATTGGTAGAATTTAGACGAGATAAGCTCTGTATAGCAATTGTAACTGAAGCATAGAACTCGCCGACGAGTTCAATCCTCTTCTCGATTTGTTCTTCGGTCTTACAGTTCACCTTCTTCAGTAAACTGATGATGGCGACAAGAGTCGACAAAGGTATTTGATGGCAAACTACTTGGCCAGTATTCAGGCTACAAAAATGAGTTGATCCAACCCAAGAAACGAACAGCACTCTAGAGTTCCATTGCAGTTGGCCTCAATTTCCAGGGCTCTTGTTCTGAATCGCACCCCCCTGTGGACTTGTGCAGACAAAAGTACGTATCTGAGGCGGCCCCTTAAGGCCGCATAGGTACACAACAGTAATACTCTGAGCACAGCCGGAAAATACAGTATAAGTATCATGCCCAATACTCAATGGAAGGTTTCTAGATGGAAACACATTACCAAGGAATCTCGTAACCAAACCTCTCTACCAACCAAGCCTCTGCAGGCTCTGGTACGGCCTCTCGAAACAAGGGACTTGCCCGTCCTCAGCGTGGGGCAAACAAGCCGTGGCGGTGAAAATGAGGCAAAAGAGGACCCCTTCCCCCAAACCGATCCATGGAGACGGACCAGTCTGTGCCAACCAATAGTGACGAACGCGTTTGTGTTTGCGGGACTCTACAGTCGTGCATTTTGCGTGTGCTCCAACTAAAAGCCCGAGGGGCGAGTGTATCGTGCTTTGCGTGCTGTGGCTGTTATGCCACCATGGTAGTAATGATGATTGCCCCCTCCTCTGATCTGCTATGCCTTAGCCTGTGACTCTTCCATGTATTCTTTAGTTTCTGCCCAATGAGACCATAACTGAACGACGTAGGTATTGGCTTCCACGTCCTTTTGTTCATTCGGCTTGGCCCAGTGATTAACACTTCTTCTCCCTTGCCATCTTTGCTGCTGTATTTCTCATTCACTTGTACCACCGCACCCTTTTAAGTGCTGCCACCGCCCACCCAGCAAGCACACTTTTACCCCGCCATCCACCCCTTGCGCCAACGACTTTTGATAAGCATCCCACTCTTCAACCCCGCAACAATTTGCGCTCTACCCAGACAATTTAGCCAAAGGAAACAATTCAAATCACAGTCAAGATGGCAGGCGGACAACCAGGATCCAACTCTCGCGGCCGCGGTGGCAAATTCAGGAAGTTTACCCGTGGAGGTTTGTTCACACACGTGCTCCGCGACAGCACCTCTTCGATGCTGACAATCACAACAACAATCCAGGTGGCAAGCATTTCTCCCGTGACCTTAGACCCCTTGACGCCGATGGCAACGAAGTCAACATGTGGTCTGCCGATTCGAAGAAGCAAGGTGACGACGAGAGCTCCGAAGAAGACTCTGAGGAGGACTCTGAGGAGGAGTCCGACTCCGAGGGTGACGGCAAGCCCCAGGCCGAGATGACCCGTGCCGAGCGAAAGGCCGCCGCCAAGGCCCGCAAGGACGCCGCCGTAGCCAAGAAGAGAGCCCAGGCCGTCGAGGTCGGCGACCTGCCCCCCTCCGACTCGGAGGAGAGCAGTGAGGACGATGCCGACATGCCCGCCAACCCCAACCACTCCAAGGCTGCCCGCAACCAGACCAAGGCTCCAGTCGCCGCCCCCGAGGTCGACGAAGCTGCTGAGGGCGTCAAGAAGCTGACGGTTGCCAGCAACCGCAAGGAGCGCGAGAGCATGGAGGCTGCGCAGGCCAAGGAGAGATATCGCAAGCTGCACGAGGCCGGCAAGACGGACGAGGCCAAGGCTGACCTCGCGCGCTTAAGACTTATCCGTGAGCAGAGAGCTGCCGACGCTGCTCGCCGAGAGGTATGTCTCATTCACACGCGAAGACACGCGAAAAATAGCCTTCCCATCCGACCCCCCCCCCCCCCCCCCCCCCTTCCCCATACTTTGGTACTGACTGAATTTACTACCTTAGGCCGAGAGAGAGGAGCGCGAGGCCCAGGAGGCCGCCAAGAGACAGGAGATCGAGGCAAAGGAGGCCAAGAAGAGAGAGGCCGCCCTTGGTCCTGTTAAGAAGGGCAAGAAGTCGAGCAAATAAGGCGACCCTCAACATATCGGACTCTCGATGCTCTTTGGTAATCCGGTTGCAACTTCCCATCATATACCATCGTTTTCCCTGGTCCATATTCGTTCGCAGCATAGCGTGCGTTGGATACTCACGTCTGAACCACAATGTGAACAACACTCTTGCTTTTACTTTTACCACCCTGCCTGCGCCCACAGATGGCTATCTCAAGTTCTGTGACATGCTCCGTTCCGTATCTTACATGGAATCGATAACCATCCCCGTTTTTCCATACGAATACACAGCCCGCTTTACATGCCGGCCAGGCCATCTGTGCCGACGGCTTCATGCCATACCTGGTCGAAATCGACGCCCTGCTCCTGGAACAGGTCTCGAATCTGTTTGGCCACCTCCACCTGCTTTTCGGGCCCGAATCCACCAGGTTGCGAGGACTCGAACTGCACAATCTCGATCCAGCGGAAGAAAAGGTTCTCCTTGCCAATGGCGGCGAGAGCGTCCCTGAACTGGAAGACTTGCCTCCGTCTGTCGTCCTCCTTGGCGCTCACCCCCTCTTCCTCCACAGACATCCAGCCGTAGTCCTCGTGATGCACCAGAACCAAACGTCGGAAAGCGTCTAGCGCAATGTCCTTACGATCCACCATCGTATGCGCGTCAATCATGGCCTGCCAATCGAGATCCCACTGGCCGGTCATGGTAAGGTAGCCCGTCTTTTCCTGTAGAAGGAGTGGCGAACAGGCCTGTCGGATGATCTGCTGCAGCGCCTCGTTCTTCTCCTTCTCCTTGAATATATCACCTAGTTGCTGGTCCCACTCCCGGCTGCGCCGAACGTAGATCTCCTTCTCTCGGAAGCCAACTTTCCATCGCCAGCTGACCGGGTTGCCGTACGACCGGCCAAAGACAAACTCAACAGGCCATGGCCAGACGAAGACGAAGAGCATGAAGTCCAGAGTCAGTGATGCGCCGCGCTTGGCAACCTCCCACAGCAACTGTCCCCAAGTCGAGTCGCCAGTCGGGAAGGTTGTTTCATTGGGGTAGCCCATGGCAGACTGAACGAATTTGAAGTAATAGGGAAGGATGTAGTACATGCGCAAAACGAAGAGCGCGGCGACAACCAGGTTCATGCCAACGGGCACGAGAAAGATCTTCTTCTTGAAATCCGTGGGCTTGGAATCGATATGAGTGATGTAGACGTGTTTGGGCGAGAGAGTCTCGAGCAAGGGTTGAAGGACTTCTGCTGGTTTCTTGAAAGGTGCCGGCGGCGTGCCAGGCGACCTCTTTGGCGCCGACTTGGACTTGACGGCTTTGATTTTGGGCGCCATGGTGACCGCCGTGACACTGATACAGCAGGTAAGTTTGAAAGAAGCTTAACCAGGGTGTCTAAGCTCCAAGCTGGCTGGTTTTGCTTGAGGGGCCAGGGGATAGATTGCATATGCATTTATGCCCCTGCATAAGCACAACCCGTCTGCAGGTGGATACCTTTTTAGACCAATCAAAGCTCGCTCATCAGCCAGAAGCAATTGCCTGCACTCGAGCTTGAGAAATTTCTGGGGCGATTCGAGCTCAATCAAAGCTTGTCTTGTGTTTCTTCAATTGCCGCCGCTGTTCATGTTGCGCCAAACAACAGACCATGCTTCGATGTAGAATATGGACCGTAAGTGACTCGTCTCCTTTCCTTGACGGTGTTATACAAAACCTAATCCCTTCATAGGAGCGAAGTAGTGCACATGTCTGCGCCTTCTGTCGCCACCCCGCCCTCTCACGACAACATGACCTTGGTCGGCGCAACTACTCGGACGCATCGAATCCCACCCCGAAAGGCAACGATAAAACCGGCGGTTGGGGCCAAGGTCATGGTGTGAAACCAGCCGGGGTTGCGGGCATTCCTTCAGTACCGCGTGGTCCAGTTGCCGCCGGCGGATGGGGCCAGCCGTTGTTTGGTGCTGAGCTATCTTCAGGGGCGCCGAAAGCCGATGACCGAAAGAGTCCTACCAGCCTGAGTGACTCACTTGACAGCCTGCTTCTCCCTCATGAGCTCGCAGCACGAAAGAAGCTGGCGGCGCAGCAAGCGATACAGCCTAAGGCTGTGAAGAAGCCAAAGCACCTAGGTGGCCTCCCTAGTGGTTTGAATGGGCCCAGGATTTCTCGAAACCCTCTCGCCAATACTTTTGCTGCAGGCGCAAATAAATCATTCGTGGGGCTCGAGGAGAAGCCTCTGGCAGCGAAAGATTGGAGACACCGGTTCGAGACAGAGAGACCCTCAACTAGCATACCAGTACCGCACAACCGACACTTTGCGAAGGACGAGAAACCTGGGTTTTCGATACAGAAAATTCCACAAAAGCAGAAGAAGGGCCTTGGAAACTCGGACGGTGGGGAAACCGGCGGATGGGGTCAACTTGCGAGGAAGCCCACCGGCAACCGTTCTGAAGATACAGCTCCCGACGCGTCGTCAAGCCCAGTCTTGTCGGAAAAAGGTTTCTTCGCCAGATTCACAGAAGTTTTGGACACCAAGTACAGTCAACAAGACAAAGAACCCCAGACATCACGCCGGGATCTTGGCCGCTCAAGCAGCAATGATTTCCTGAGGACGGAAGAGGTCATGGAGGAGAACTCATCAAAGCCAGAACGTCGGACACGGGAGTTTGACGAGTCCTATGAAATCAGCCGCGATCCAAGGCGACGCGACAAGGCAGGAAGCCGGAGAGGAGATGCGTACGGGTCTTCCCGCGGCGTTAAAAAATCAGCAGCGCAACAAAAGTGGGAGAACGACAACGAAGAATGGGAAGATAACGGTGCGAGCCGAGAAGCTGAGCGCCGCCGCAAGAAAGCCGAAGCAAAGGCGCGGAGACTAGCGCAGGAGAAGGCTGCTCCTCAGAACATCTTCCTGCCCGAGTTCATTAGTATTTCGAACCTAGCTACTGCACTCAAGTCGAAGCCGCAGGAGTTCCTCAGATCCTTGTCAGAGATGGGATTTGAGGATATTACCGAGGACAGCATCATGACTGGAGAAACTGCCGCTCTAGTAGCTCAGGAGTTCGGTTTTGAGCCAACCGTTGACACTGGTGGTGTCCGGGATCTCAAGCCTCGACCTCCGCCAGAGGATGTGACCGTGCTACCACCACGGCCTCCGGTTGTTACTATCATGGGTCACGTTGATCACGGCAAAACTACTCTACTTGACTATCTGAGGAAATCCTCCGTCGCAGCCCAAGAGCACGGTGGCATCACCCAGCATATCGGCGCTTTCATGGTGAAGATGTCCGATGGCAAGCTTATCACTTTCCTTGACACTCCCGGTCACGCGGCTTTCTTGACCATGCGACAACGCGGCGCTAACGTCACCGACATTGTGGTGTTGGTCGTTGCTGCTGATGACAGTGTCAAGCCCCAAACCATTGAAGCCATCAAGCATGCCAAGTCAGCAAATGTGCCGATTATTGTGGCCATCAACAAGTGTGACAAGGAGGATGCTAAGCCCGACCAAGTCAAGGCCGATCTTGCTCGTCACGGTGTCGAAATCGAGGATTTTGGTGGTGACGTTCAGGTCGTTTGCGTCAGTGGAAAGACCGGCCAGGGCATGGGCGACCTCGAAGAGAATATCGTCACTCTCGCGGATATTCAGGATATGCGCGCCGAGAACGACGGCTTGGCGGAAGCTTGGGTGCTTGAAGCTAGCGTGAAGCCATATGGCAAATCTGCAAACGTCCTCGTCAAACGAGGCACTCTGCGCCCCGGGGATTTCGTTGTCGCAGGCACCGCTTGGGCTCGGGTTCGGCTCCTGCGGAACGAGGCTGGTCAGGAGCTGGAGGAGGCCCCTCCCGGAACGCCTGCCGAGGTGCTTGGTTGGAGGGACGAGCTTCCTGCCGCTGGAGACGAAGTATTACAGGCACCTGATGAGGATCGGGCGAGAACAGCCGTCGATTACCGCGAGGAGATGCGTGAACGAGAGGCGTCTTCGAACCAGCTAGCCGAGCAGGAACGCCGCGAACGCGAAGCCAAGATCGCCGCAGAAGTCGCCAAGGAGATCGAAACAGTCGATGCCGAGGAAGGCGAAATCATCGCGACCAAGGTTGTCAACTTCATGGTCAGGGCTGACGTCGTGGGGTCCGTCGAGGCTGTGTGCGCGACCATCAAAGAGATCGGCAACAATGAAGTGAAGCCTCGGATTCTTCGTTATTCAGCCGGCCAGGTGTCTGAGTCGGATGTTGAATACGCCCAGGCCGCCAGCAGCGTTATTGCAAATTTTAACAGCACTATCCCAGCCCATGTCAAGAATCTAGCCGAGGAGAAGGGCGTAAAGATATTGGACCACACTATCATTTACCACCTGTCGGATGAGGTGAGGCAGGTCTTGTCTGAGAACTTGGCCGACAAGGTGACGTCAAAGGTTGTCGGCGAGGCGGACATTCTGCAGGTCTTCCCCATCAACGTCAAGGGACGCACGTACAGAAACATTGCTGGTTGCAAGGTAAGGAACGGAATCGTCACTCGGTCGACAAATGTGCGCATCTTGCGGAAGGGTGAGAAGATCTTTGATGGTAAGTCAACCCCTGAAAACCTTTCCTCAAAACACTGGGTTTAATCTAAAACCGTTTCCAGGCAAGATCGATACCCTCAAGCACGGGAAGAAGGACGTGAATGAGATCAGGAAAGGTACCGAGTGTGGTATCGCCTTTGAGGGCTTCACCGACTTCCAAGCTGGCGACCAGATTCAAACATATGAGGAAGTGAGAGAGAAGCGAAGCTTGTAAGATATGAAGACACCTATACAAGAAGATACCGGGGACATCATAGGCACGGGAAGGAGCAGCAGGCACTAAGAGGTGCTTAGCTGTCATAGCTGACCTTGGATGAGAGTCGGTTCACCCGAGGGCACAACCCACACAACGTCACTGTAGAGTAGAGATAGTCCATAATGGCAATTGTACAACATGTATCATGACATCTTTGGCCATTCTCGACTTGGCCTTTGTATTACTTCACCATCGTTTCGGTGCAGAGATGGTGCTTGACGAGAACGTCCTACTTGTCACTGTTGACCGCGACCGCTCCTTCTCGAGCTTGGCCAGACCGATCTTATCGGTGACGGGCGTGGCGTTGATGATGTTGTCGAAATCATCGTCATCCTCCCCATTGTCCGAGTCCGGTTCAACATCCGAATCAGGCTTCAGGGTCTGCGGCCGTGGTATCGCCTCGGGCCTTTTCTTCTCCTCTGCTGAAGGGTTCGAGAATGTCTTTGATGCGAGCACCTTACGACGGATCTCCTCCATGGCTGCATCGTCGTCGCTGTCATCTGATATGGCGTATGGGTCTTCGTCTTCTTCCTCTTCCTCTTGGTCTTTCGCGGGCTTCTTGCCTAGGTATATGCCGTCGGCACTGTCGCCCTCGCCGGGCTCCTCTCCGCTCTCGTCGTCCTCCTCATCATCATCCTCTTCCTCTTCATCGGAATCTGGTATAGCTCTCCGATTTGTGTTTCCCCCCTTCCACATATCATCTGCGTCGCCCTCCTCTCTGCTCTCCGCGTACTCCTTATCAAGCCTGTCTAGCCACTCATCCTGAACCCTCTTTACACCCTTCTCGTCCTCACTCGACGCGTACTTTTTTAGCAGACTTCCGTTGATCTCTAAGAACGCCTCGCCATAGGAGAAAGGTGCCAGAACCTGTTCCGCCCACTCAGGGTGCCCGCAGATGTAGAACGCCGCAGCCAGGGCCTCGACACAGTTCAGCTTCCACGGCTTGCCGTAGTTAACCGTGTTTGCAGCCACCAGGTAGGGCAGCAAACGCTCGCACTTTCCTCCGACCTTGTTCCACTGTACGTCCTTCATGCGCGCCCAGCTACACTCGACGACGGCGGCGCCGTACTGTTCCATGAGGTCGCGGTCGGCCGGAGATACGGTGTGCTTACCGTTGGGGGTAATGATGACTCCATTGTGGCGCTGGCCAACGTGAAGGTCGCGCATCATGCCCATCCGGATCAGCTTCTTGCCGGAACATCGCTTGGGATCGCAGTGACCCAGGTCCCAGCAGGCGGCTTTGAAAGTAGGGCGGGAGGTAGGGGCTTCGGTATCGTCGCCACCCCGGGGCTGGCGCTGTCGTGGGGGTCCTGAGTTGTGATTCTTGCGGCCACGAGAGCCGAAGTTATCTTTTTTGTGGCGGACCATTTTCGAGGATTAGAGGGAGAGCCGGAGAATGGCTCGCGAGGATCGGAGAGAGAGACTCGGGGTGAATTTCTTACGGTTGTTCGCCAGCTCCTCTTCTTCACAAGAGCTGGTTTGGCGGGGTACTTGGAGGGGCAAAATTGGTAGCGATAGCACGAAAAATTCGATAAGCTGCATCACTTGGTCCATGTATGCAATTAGGCGTACGCAACTCCAGGAAGGTGAGGTAACCCACATACGAAGCATAGGCCACCTTGTTGGAATCGAAGTGGCTCCTCCCGCGCCGCCTGTCACTCTCGGCAGCCCCTCGTCATTCGGCCACAGATGTCAGTGTAGGTACCTATCAAAGGGTTCATGAGGGATGCCTGCGCCGACTTAATCCACTCTATCCAATTCGCAGGCGCTTGCTCGGCCAGCTCTTGATTCCTCTCGGCCCCCTAAAATCCGATGTCTTTTGCACCTTGAGACCTTAACGACGACGACGAAGACGAGATTCTAATCGCTAAGATAGCTCCCTTACCTCTCCGCCCAAGGCCGCACCCGAACGCAACTACCGCAACGATGGAGGCCGCATCAGCCAGAGCTGCGGCCCGAGACCGCTGGGGCGAGATGGGCTCGCCCACGCCATCGCAGCTGCAGCGATTTATCCAGGCTGCCTGCAGTCCCGAGAATTACGAGCCGAACCTTGCTCTGAACCTTGAGATCTCCGACTTGATCAATTCCAAGAAAGGCTCCGCCCCGCGCGAGGCTGCTGTCGCCATCGTCAGCTACATCAACCATCGCAACCCCAACGTGGCCCTCTTGGCGCTCAATCTGCTCGATATCTGCGTCAAGAACTGCGGCTACCCGTTTCACCTGCAGATCAGCACAAAGGAATTTCTAAATGAGCTCGTCAGGAGGTTTCCCGAACGACCCCCGATACGGGCAACGCGGGTGCAGATGAAGATTCTCGAGGCGATCGAGGAGTGGAGGAGTACGATATGCGAAACAAGCAGATACAAGGAGGACCTGGGCTTCATTCGGGACATGCATCGTCTTCTAAGCTACAAGGGGTACACGTTCCCTGAGGTTCGGCGTGATGATGCCGCGGTGCTCAACCCAAGTGATGTACGCTTCTCCATCTGTTGTCTATTTTCAAGGTCCAAGGATGGTACTGACAGGCATAGAATCTGAAATCTGCCGAGGAAATGGAGGAGGAAGAGCGTGAGGCGCAATCGGCCAAGCTTCAGGAGCTCATCCGGCGAGGCACCCCCGAGGACCTGCAGGAGGCGAACCGTTTGATGAAGATTATGGCCGGTTACGATACTCGATCCAAAACGGACTATCGCGCAAAGGCTGCCCAAGAAGTTGCAAAGATTCAAGCAAAGGCACGGTTGCTTGAGGAGAGGCTCGAGGCGTTCCAGCAGGGCGATACGATGCAGGACGGCGATGTCTTCTCCGAGCTCGCGGCAGCCTTGCAGAGTGCACAGCCCAAGATCCAGAAGATGTGCGAGGAGGAGTCGGATGACCATGAAGCTGTTGCGAAGCTGCTTGAGATCAACGACAGCATACACCGGACCGTGGAGAGGTACAAGCTCATGAAGAAGGGCGATCTGGAGGCTGCAATGAAGGTGGCTAGCGGTGCGCCACTTCCATCGACCTCTGGTTCGTCAAAGAGCGCGGCGCAAGAGCTATCTTTGATCGATTTCGATGGGGAACCGGAAACGATGAACGGTTCGTCTTCGGGCCAGTCAGGTCAACAGTCCACCGGTGTCGAGAATGATCTTCTTGGTCTTTCAATCGGCGATTCTACAAGCTACGGCCAAGGAGGTGCTCTGGCGCTTGGTTTTGGAGCGAATCAGAGTAAGTTAACCTCGCTGTTCAATGCGTATCGTACTGACCAAAGCTAGACATCCCAGGTCCCGCACTGCTGTCTTCCGTAACGGAAAACAACAGTGCAAAGGGTACAATGAGCAACATAGCGACACCTCAAGCGGCGTCCTTCTCTCAATTCGCGTCCTTCACGTCCCCCATGGCATCACAATCTGGCACTCCCCAGCCTTCTGGAATGTCCGCATTTAAGCCCCCTCAGCAGCAGATCCCGGCCTCAAACGATCCCTTTGCCGCCCTTGGCTCGCCCGTGTTTTCCTCTAAGCCTGCTACTCCTGCTCAGCCGCCTGCGGTGACCGCGCCGCCCGCAGCAGCCACGAACGATGACGACGAATGGTCCTTCTCATCAGCCTTGCCACCTGAGGCTCCTAGCCAACCTAAGGAACATAAGGCGACTGTAAGCGACTCTATCGTGAAGATTGAGATGATTGCTGGAAGGTCTGGGGCTGGCAATGCTATGAACCTGAGTTTTGCCTTTTCGAACAAGTCTGCACAGCCCGTCACCGAGCTTCATTACCAGCTCGCTGCAACAAAGGTAAGCTCCCGGTCCATGTCCGATACAAGATGAACAAACTGCTGACTCCATTCAGGGTTACGAACTTGGTCTCAGACCCCAGACAGGGCGCTCATTGGCCCCTAGTCAGAGCAGAGGTGTGACACAGTTCGTAGAAGTATGGCATGCCGGGGACAAGAACCGCAAAGTAGAGTCTCTCAAGCTGCGGTGGAGGATTTCTTACAAGGTTGGAGCGGAGTCTAAGAACGAGATGGGTGAGATTCCCGAGTTCAGCATCGCGTAGCGAGGCAGTATCTCAGGATGGAACTTTTGAAAAGGGCTGCAATTAGAGCCTTGGAGAATAGGAGGCACATTCGGAGGTGCGATAAAAGGGTTATAGAATCTACGGGGTTTAAGATAGCCGAGAAAGCAGTGCCAATTGCCTCTCCATGAGCAGTGAAACTAAGTTCGCAGGCCGTCGTGTTCGTTACGCGACCGTCGAGGCATCAGACGATCAGATCAAACAATTGGCTATGTTGTGACCAAGAAGGTGAGTCTCTACCAATCATGCTAGCTACCTAGCTATTTCTGGGGTATTACTAGGACATGAGGGTAGCCGGGCGATACGGTCAGGGGAGTAAGGACGGGGCCGGTGTGGGGGGCTCCTATGGTCTCGTGGGGGCCGGGAACGCGGCGCGTGTGGGGTTGCGTGCCGCGCCAAAGTGCACGTCCGCCGCGGGATGACCTCAGAGTTCCCAGGAGGATTTTCTCCCCGTTGCCTGCGACTCGGACGACACCATCTGGTACGATTTCCCCGCCAAATCTTCCTGATTTTCTTGCAAAAAAGATCCCTAGTTTCTCGGCGGACTTCTTGGGGTTATTCGCACGAGGATCGAAGCCTCAGAAGTGCTGCGCTTGCCGCGAGCAGCAGCCCAAGGTATTTGACGAGCGACTGCGCCAGCCGGCTAGTTAGTCAAGTCTCAGCCAAACCAGTCTTCCAAGCCGCGCGTTTGAGGACCCCGAATTACACAATGGGCTCAGACGACGAGCGCCGCGAGCGCCGCTCTCGGCGCAGCCACGACGACGACCAAGATACAAGGCCGCGCAGGGACGCCGCAGACCGATATAGCCACCGGCGCAGACGAAGCAAAGACCGAGACCACCGGCGCGACCGCGGCTCCGACAGACACAGAGACAGGCGGAGGTCGCGTTCACGGGACGACCGCGAGAGGCGCCGCTCACGTACCCCGGACTCCTCGTTGCGGAAACGCTCCCGCTCGCGAGCCCGAGACCGAGACCGAGACGGCGACGGCGACGGGGACGGAGACAGAAACAGAGCCAGAGACAGAGATAGAGACCGGCGCAGGCGACGATCCGCCAGCGCCAGCGGCGGGAAGGAACTCGCCCGCCGCCGTCACCATCGCCGTCGCGACTCCGACCGCGGCTCCGACTCGGAACATGAAGCCCCCCGACGCAAGCGGCCAGCGCCCGCTCCCACCGCCGGTCCCCTCCTTCGCGCGGGCCCGCTCCCTGACCAGGAAGCCTCCTTCGCGGTGTCCAAAGGCGAGGAGCCCGAGAAGCCCAAGGAGAAGCCGAACCTCCGCACGACGGGCCTCCTCGCGGCGGCCTCCAACTCGGTGCAGCAGGCCGACGGCACCTCCATCGTGCTCAAGTACCACGAGCCCGCCGAGGCGCGCAAGCCGCCCGCCAAGGACCAGTGGCGGCTCTTCGTCTTCAAGGGCGCCGACATTGTGGACACGGTGGACCTGAGCGCGCGGAGCTGCTGGCTCGTCGGGCGCGAGGCGGCCGTCGTGGACCTGGCGGCCGAGCACCCGAGCATCAGCAAGCAGCACGCCGTGATCCAGTTCCGCCACGTCGAGAAGAGGAACGAGTTCGGCGACCGGATCGGCAAGGTGAAGCCGTACCTCATCGACCTGGAGAGCGCCAACGGGACGGTGCTGAACGGGGACAAGATCGCCGACAGCCGCTACTACGAGTTGAGGGACAAGGACATGATCAAGCTGGGGCACAGCACGCGAGAGTACGTGCTCATGCTGGCGCCAAAGGAATGAGGAATTCCAATGCTGCGGGAGGGAAGGGTGTCGACTGGTTCCGTCGCGAACGTGGGATTGTCGTCACCACAGCCGGATGCCGTTGAAATTTTCCTACTTCTGCTAGACTTGTAAATTATAATTCCTAAAACTGGCGTTTTCCGAAAGAGGCAGAAGAGGTACGGAACACAAGAACGCTACTTTGATATTTCTACTACTATGATGTTTTCTATGAGAACAAGACAAAAGAAACAAACGCTGAAGCCCCTGATGGGTGGGGGGTATTTCGCTACCGAAACAAAACATGTCAGTCTCCATCCATAATGCCGCTTTTGACATGTTGTAACGCCAGCCCGTTCTGTTCTACTGTACTGCCGTCTAAGCAGCCCCCGTCCCAAAAGGTGCATCCCAGAGCGAGAACCAGCAATGCATTCCCATCTATCCCAGCCGGACCCCCAGTCCAACGTATGCCAATTCTGGGGGGGCTCGTCGACGTTTCCAGCTCTCACCTGGCGGGAAAACTCAACTGCCTCCTCGGACCTTCGCTGAAGGTGTTCCTCGTCTGACTGACCCAGCCGCCGTCTAGCATCTATAACGTTCACAGTCATTTCGCCAAACCCAATGAACCCGCCATCCGCAAGCCGGATGCCCCCAGACCCAGATCGATTCATACTCTCCCCGCCCGAGGCGCTCCGTGGGCTGGTTATGGGACTTTCTCGTGCAAAGTTGGGCGGTCGCCCCGTTGGTAGCAGACTGGGAACGTTGCTTCCCCCGAACAATGCCTCATCACGAGGGCGTCCGCTGTGCCTTTGTCTCCAGACATCATAGGATGTCTGGTCCATATCGATCGGTGCAATCCGCGGAGAAGGCTCCGTCTCAACCATTGACGGTGCTCGGGGGCGGGCCAGGCTTGATCTGGTACTACCGCTGTTGCTGCTTACGGGAGTGCTTATCGAGCCGGTCGCTCCCGCGGTTTGAGGGTTTGAACTCGGATTTCTCGACATGGGTTGCGATGAGTAACCGTTCGGTGGCCTTGCTTGGGCAGGGCCCTCTGACACCGCGGTTGCGGGCAATGGGATATTTAGATCTGGCAGTTCAAGACTCGGATTATACCGTGAAAGAACCTTGCTATAAGATTCCCCATAACCATAAGGGTAGGGCGGTCGAGTGACTGCGGCGTCCTGTTCAGTCGTAGAAGTCCGTTGTAAGCTGCTTGTCTGATTCGTGACGACTGCTAGCCCAGATGGAAAGAACGCCGTGTGTTGCGTTCCCGGACTGGAGTTTGCTGTTCTGGCACCCTCGCTAAGGATGATAGGAGGCTTCGTAGTAGGTTGAGGATCGGATAACCCTGCATCTGCTGAATCGCCTGGTCTACCGATACCCGTTCTCCCTTTGCTCGATTCGTTCTGGCGCCTCGCTCCGGTGACAGAACTAGTCACACGTCGAAAGAGATTTGTTAAGTACGCCGGTCGGGTCGGGTTCACTTCTCGATCCTGTTGAGATACCGGCGGCCTACTTAATCGAGGCTGGCCTCCAAATCCGGTCGTGTCCGCAGGCTGGTTCTCTTTCATTCTTTGCGCGATAGATAAGGGCGTGCTATCGATAGTTCGCAGACTGTTGACTGAACGAGTATCATCATAGGCGGCTATTCTGTCAATGCTTCCTGCCCTTGACGGTGGCGTAGGAAATATAGGATTCAAGGATGTCTCATCCTCGACAGTGGTTCCCGATGTAACATTTGCGTAGCTGGACTGGCCCAGAATCGACAGCGGCTGCGGTGCAGTAGCTGTGCTAGAGCTTCGACCCCTGTTGTAGATTTGACCACCACCTCGAGGTGGAGGAGGGGAGCTTTTCTTTATGTGCATGAGCTCAGTCTCGGCCTCGCTCATGGCTGTCACTCTTGAACGGCTGGGGGGCCTTCCACCCCTAGAAGATTGAGGTGGAGTGATGAGACCGCGGGCGGACTCCCGACTGATACTTACGCGTGGATCGTTAGCCGTTGCGGTAGTCTCTCTCCATGCACCCCCACGATCACGATAGCGTCGCTGCTCTCGTTTCTTCACAGAGCGGTGCCTGGAAACAACGGTCCACTCCGACTCGGAAGAATGTGGGTTCGGCCCCTCTACCACATCCGGAGGATACGGAGTAATGGTCCGATCCTCGGATCTTTCGTCTTCGGCCCGGGGTTCGTTGTCCTCCGGAAATGAACGATACGGCATGTGAAAATGATTCGGGTCAACGAAGGGAAGCGGAGACTCGCACTCTACATCCTCCGAATAAGTAAGATTCGGTAAGTTCGTGCCGTTGGAAGCCTCTGTTGACTGCGACGATACGCTGCACGTGCGTTCGAATACAGAAGAGTGCGTGGCAGTCTTGTTGCCGTCTACGATATCTGTTGATACGGCTTTCTGTAGCTCGTCAATTTCTCTCGGAAGTTTTGTAAGACGTCTTTCGAGATCAGCTTTGGCCATAGCCAAGTCTGTTGGGTTATCTCTGCGTCCCAGTGTTAGTCTCATACGGGCGATAGGACAACAGAGAGGTTTAATGAGCAGCAGTAGAGGCAGTTAAGGGGTGGGAACGAACTTACCGTTGCGAATTAGGTTGCTCCTTAGCTTTTTGATGCTTGGAAGAATGCCCGTGACGATCGAGATGCTCCATCAGCTTCTTTCCATGTCTTACGTATTGACGGTAGTCATCCGGCAAGCCGGTATCGGGGTCTGTACCCATTCTGGCATCGGCTTCATCGAGTGATCGACAGAAGACTTGGACAGCGCGTTCTAACCAGAATTCTAATTGCCGCTCCTCGGCAAGAAGTTCCATGAAGAATGCCTGTACGATGCTGTGCACACGGAGCGTATCCAAGGGCTCGGGTATGAGCTCGACGCTTTGGCGAGTGCATTGTGAGCTGGAGGAAGGAATGTCGTCCGTCTCGTTTCGCTCAATGAGGGCAAAGTTGATTAACGTGACTAAAGTTTGAGTCAGGCTTTTCTTGTGGCGTGTGGTTTCCGTCTTCACCGGTGTGCGCTTATCGAGAGCCTTCAGTCCAAGTGCCAGCATCTCGACTGGCATCGACTGGCTGAAGAAAGAGAGTATGTATATGAGATTTAGAGCGGCAACGTCGCCTCTCTTTTGCAGTTGGTCTCGGATTGTCTTGTACGCGGGAAGAATTCCTACTCTCGGTGTGTCTCTGAACGACTTCAGATACTTGGCGAGGGGCTCTCGTGTTGCATTCATTTGCAATGCCGCAGCATGGATCATCAAGGGGAGACGACCCATCAGCTGCACCAAGTCTTGGGCCCGCCTGAGATCGTCAGTCGTATACGGCTGTTTTTTTCCCATTTCTTCGAGCAACAATTCCTGCGCGTCTTGAACCGGAAGAAGACCTAGCTTCATGATGCTCGGATTATCCAGACGATATGCACCAGGCTCGGCGCGCTCTGTCGACGTATAGATGAGGCTGCTGTTTGGTCTGTCGGGAATGAAGTCGAGCACAGCATTGTCGCCGAAACGGATGCCGTCGAACACCAGGAGCCAGCTTTCTGACTCGTTGAACCAATTCCGAACGATCTCGACCATCTTTTGAGGGTTCAACAAGTCCTTCTTTTCTTCTTGGGCAGCCATACCCCTGATAGCCTCGGTTTTCGCGATGTGCCAAAACCCATCCTCCATGTCCTGCAGACTGGTCGATCTGATCCAGTATATTCCACCCGGATAATCGTCTTTGTGGTTAAATACATACTGGCGAGCCAAGTGTGTCTTTCCAGCCCCTGGGATGCCCTGGATCAGCACGGCAGAAGTGCCTTCTGATCGTCTCTTGGCGTCCGTCAACACCTTGTGGAGACTACGGAGCTCCTCCTGGCGCCCTTTGAAGAACGAATTGGGCCGAAATCGGTCAGGGTGGACAAAAATAGGGCGGGGCATATACGATTCCGGTACCGAGGCAGATGGAGGAAAGCCCATAGTGCCGGCAATAGCAGTCGACGATGAGGCTTGTGTTGAGAGGACTTTACTTAAATCTGCCAAACTATTAGAATCGATCTCCCACACATTCTCCCGGACGGTTTAGCCCTGATCTTTGGCCTTGACTACAAGGGGAAATACAGGTGAGTCCCAGGCCGAGGATTGAGAATACTTGGGAGCTCCAGACGAAGAAAATGGAGGGAAAGTACCTTGCGAAGATGTGCTACTAAGGCTTCTGTAACTACGCATCCTCTCGGCTGCTTCTGACTGGGCTCTCGCTCTCCTGTCGTCGATCTCAATCTCCCAGCGAGTTCGGATCACTGGTGGGGCTTCTTCTGCCCAGTCGCGAATGGCGGTTGATACATTTCTATATCCAGGCGCGCTGGTGCTGTTGAACTTGCACATGCCAGAATGGGTAGCCTCGATGCCGTAGTAAGTGACGCCTGGCAGTTGCGGACTTGCTGACTTGGCGTCAACCACTAGCATCCTATGATAGATCGTACATATTAGCCAAAGAATATCACTGACTAGTTCAGCCTATCACGTTGGCCTTTTATCGCGGATTTGAGGAAGACATGGATTGGAAAAACGGGAATCAGAGATGATCGACGCCATAGACATGAAACAGAGGAAAGCAGGATGGCATGATAGTAAGGGAGATGAGACAATCAGGCCTCATCAAGCCCCTTACCCTCCCCAGAGGCAAATCAAGGTGGATGTAAGTAGAAATGCTCTCACTTTGTGCCTTTGAGATCTGTCTTGTGGTTCTCGTGAGCCATATGGATCTGAAACCGCTGGTAGACATCGAGAAAGTGATTGTTGATGTTTTCCAGCGTTTCATTGTCCTTTTTCAACGTCTTGAGGAGGACGGATTCGCTTTCGAACACTTTTCTTGGTGCTACGGCATCTGCCATTTTCTGCAAGACGAGCCCCCATGTTGCCATGTCTGAGCCAGTGTGGGGAGTACCTAGAAAGATGATTCCATAAGTTGAGATGAAGATGGACCTGGCGTCCTCTTGGTTCTTGTCTCTGACATCGTTGGAGTAAAGCAGGGCACGCTTAACAAGGAGACCGCCTAGACTATGCGCGACGAAGATGATGGGGTTGTTGGACGTGCGTTCGCTCTTGCGGTAGAGGGTGAGATTGGTGACCAGAGTCTGAGCATGCTGGGAGATGAAGTTGTCGCTGGCACTTTTACTACTTTTTCCTGTTGTGTAGACATCCGCGTTGTAGCCGTAGACCAGAATGTTGGCGCGGGTCTTTCCCAGGGACTGGGGAAGTAGATCGGCAGGCCAGAAGACGC